TGAAGTATGTAACCTCTCAAGAGCAGATCGCCGACATTTTCACTAAGCCACTCAAGCATGACGTGTTCCGCAACCTAAGAACTTTACTTGGAGTAGCAAAATCAAGTTTAAGGGGGGATGTTGGAAAGTAAACTTGATTTTGGAGTAAGTAATATGAGTTTAAGAATTTTGCTCATAGACCCAATTCAAAGGCCCAACAAAGTCTAGCATTTTCTAAAATTATATTCTAGAAATATCCATGTAAATGTCTATGTAATAGATGTGATCATAAATATGCATTGTATCTAGAATACTCTAGGAAAATATCCAGTCCAAATATGAAATCTAGAAGTCTCATGAAAATTTATGGACTAGAATTCTCTAGATTAATGTGTGGTCTAGAAGTCTCATGTAAGCCCTATATAAAGGGGTAGAGTCCCTCAATTTTGTAACAACAATAAGTCAAGTCAAGTGTTGTAAGTGTTGAAGGTGAGAAATATAAGTTACATTTTATTTACCTCTTCCTATTAGTATTGTCCTTCCTATCAAGTCTTAGCCAAATCAAGTTGATAAACCCCTCTTTCCTCCAACAAGTTTTTCCTTGAGATGGATAATATGTGACTGGGACCTTTTGGCAAAGATCCGATGAAGTCGGGACGAGGCATCATGACTTGGAGTAGCGGAGGAAATAAGTGGGATAATTGATTCCGAGAGAGAGAGAGAGACAAAAATGGAGTGAAGTAGTAATTGGTCTTGGCGCATCCAAGGCATATACGCAGGATTAATAAGAGAGACACCATCAGTGGTGATTGTTTCGAGTGGTAGAGGAGTCATCGACAAAATGGCAGAGATTGAGTCCAAAAAGTAGGAAGGTAAATTGTGCTTTTCATGAACAATAGTTGGTAGATGTTAGTTTGAGAGGAATTTGAGATGCTGTGTTAATTTGAACAAGAGAGGTTGGGAGAGATTCGGCTGATAGTGTGACCGTGGAAGCACTTGTTGCGGTTTCAGTAGACATAGGTATGCTGCCTGTATTATTTATGGAGATTTAGAGGACTGAAAACAAATTTGGCTCGTTGGAGAAAGAGCTCTAATACTATGTGATGAGATAAAAAGATGGATAATGGAAGAATTGATTGATTTGTATTTAATCACTGTGGTATTTATACACAATCCGATACAAGATAAATGATATCTAGCGAGAATATGCAAGATAATGATGCATGGTAAATGAAAATAATAATGCAAGCTATAAATCATCCGACAAACTTCTAGGTGGAGTTGAACACGTTTTGATTTCTGTGATTCAACTTTACCCTAACATGGACCACATCAAGTTTGAATGCAATTTTCAATTTAGCTACGTTTTCAAGAGTGGCTAGATAATATTTAAAAGTTCTTAGTCCAACTTGAAAGTCATTTTCTAGACGCATTTAATATTTATAACTATCTATTAATGTTGCACAAAGCAGAAAATGTTAGAATTTTTTCGTGATGTGCTAACATTAGTTGATCTTTTAGTTTATTTAAATAAGTTGGTCCATGGGGACCCGAAGGGCTATTGTGATCAGAACTCCATGGTCAGACTTGCAGCATGTTATTGATTTAGCCTCTATTTGGAAAGAATTTGTAGACGGTTTAATTTATAAATATATAAAAGAGTGGTGGACAAATAGATGGTACTTGCAGATCCGTTGAAATGTGTGATTCAAAATAAAATTTGTCCATTTATAATAGATTAAATTTTGCCAAAAGGAACTTCAAACCCATGTTTTTTATATGATAAATGAGTTTAACCCAGTTAGGTTTCTATTATGAGTAAAACTTACATACATACAAGTTATAATACGTCAATCATATATATACACAATGATTCAAAGTGTAAAAAGGAAAACCTATCTATTGTGAATTAAAATGACCAAAATTTCGTTAGATTTGCCGTGTTGGCATCTTATGGCAACAAATACTCGAGTCGTGCGTCGACATGTGTTAGTATACATGGTGTATGGGTTGGTTGAGGAAGTAATTGATGCACAAGATTATCTTAGCCAAAAGGAAAGAAAATATTCTACCAAGGATAGAAGACTAAGTTCACGTATCTCTTTATCTTGATTTGTTTCTTTAAAAATATTTCTTATTGGTCTATGACATGTTACATACTTACATGTGATTACTTATGTGACAACATACTGTGGAAAAAACTCTCATATTAAAAACATTATCCAAGAAATTATCTCATGTTTAAGGATATACATGACATGTACTCATATAGATTGAAGTATTTCTTACATTGACTTTCATTAAAAACAAAAAAAATTTAGTAAGATAATTATTTATCTAAATATTATAATAAATTATAAATGTGATAACTAAAAATATTTTATTTGCTTATTTTTTGTGTGGTATATGAATTTTAATTTGTCCTTTACTCCCTTTGGAAATATTAGCCGTCCCAGCCGGCTTACTCGAAGAAATGGATGAAAAATCACTATCAACTAACGTATTGTTTTTGTAAATATTAAAACAAAGCGTTATTTATTGTCATGCTCGACAAACGGTTTATTTCTTGCGTAAATATATTTTATTCCACTTTAGTGTCATTACCTATGACATTTTGTCCTCTGAAATTATGTACCGGTTCAACCAACAACTCGATGACCTAATATCTTAATCTGGTCAATATTTTGAAATCAAATTTAATAGCTATGGTTTCTACTAATGCTTATTGTTCGTGTCTTGTTTACGTCAAATTATTGATAACGATAGTTCAATTATTGAGGCCAGTGACATTCAAACATTTATTTTTTATATTATTTATAATACCAATAAGTTATCTGCAGTCCGACTTTGTCCACGAATCTCTACGCTCATATGTTTAATAATTCCAATTGCAAATGTGGGAAGAAAAGCACGAAAAGTCAAGCAAATGTAGGTCCGTTTGACATGATTTTTCTTTTAATATAATGCTATGTAGTGTTACTGAGGTTACAACTTCAATTTAAATGGCGTTGTATTAAATGATAGGTGAAATTAAATAAGTCATTTAATTTCACATTTCATTTAACATATGATTTAGAGTCACATAGATTGAGGTTGTAACCTCAGTGAGGTTAAATAACATTACTCTTTGTTTTAACTTTTGTTTTCTGCAAAAGAGCTTTTGATAAAAGGTATCTTAATTTTTGTTTAAACATTAAATTTTAAAAACACATTCTATTTAGAAAGTACTTTTAAAAGAAGTAACATTGAATCATCTTTCTCTAAAAACTCCTCGACTACTAGAAACATTTTCATAAAATTAGTTAAACGAGTTAAAAAGTTCATTTCAACTTTTCAAAATCCGTATCGTACGAAGCCTTATAGAATTCCATGAACATGCCTATATTTTTAGAACTGTGCTGCAACAACAGAAAAGGAGCCAACCGAAGCTTTGACCGACTCTCACAATAGGGGTGGGGTCCACTTTTTGTTGCAATTTTTTATTCATGTGGAGTCGGGCTCATGTGAGGGTAGGTCAAAGCCTCCGTCATTTTTTTCTGGTAGGGAAGCTTTTTTCGTATTTTTAATACAATATGACATGTACAGATATTTATTAAAATACATAGATTCTTCAACAAAAACTAAATGCCCTCCCCCAATTCCATGTTTGTTTATATTCTATGAAATGCTTTACTAACAATATTAGAATATTAATCTTTAGGAATATAATTCATTACCATACATTGCATCTTACCAAATAAGTCATTATTTTTGTGAAAGGCGGTACTTGTATTTCCATCAAGGTCGTTCTTTTTTATTTAGCTTTTGATTGATAGGGAGTAAAATCAGATTTTTAATAGATTTTGATGGAAGTTAAATAAACGTGTGATTGAAAAGTTGAGACTCATAAAATATATGATTAATATTAATTGTTGACTTTGATTTAGATTAATATTATTTCCCCATGTTTTACGCCCATGTTTGATGCAAATTAAAATTCAGACTTTACTCTAAGTTAGGGTAACAAGTAATTTTAACTATACATTTTATGAGATTCACAATTTTTTAATCATATATTTTGTTATCTTTTATCAAAATATACTAAAAATTCGATTTTAATCCCCCACAAAAAGTGGCGTAATATTGAATGCTTCCATTTTGTGGGGTCCACTTGGTGCAATTTTTTAATTATTAGCACCCCCCAACACACACCAAACGGGCGCAATATTTCCATTTTGTGGGGTCCACTTGGTGGAAATTTTAAAGATAAGTCCACTTACCGAAGCTACAAATGTACATGAGAAGGAATACTCTTTTGTTTGATTCCACTTTATGTATAATTAAAATCTCCAACAATATATCCAATATATATTTACAGAAAAAAAAATTTCTATCAAATTTACAGATCACACACAACATATAGATAGGACCCGCATTTTTTGAAATATTTTATTAACAATGGGACCCACATCCATGTGACACATCTGGTGGAATTCTCTGAAATTGTGCACATGCATTTTCCCAAATTTTAATAGATTTCGTGAATATGAATAGATTTCTTCAAAATCCATAAAAGTTTGAATAAATTTTTCATCCTTTTAATGAGATTCATATTAATTATATATAAATCTATTCAAATTCACAAAGCTCATTAAAATTTATTATCTTTTAAAATCCAATAAATTCGAGTTGAGGACAACTTGTTATTTTAAAATTTTGCATTCGGCCGGGGTAAGGTTTTCATTATATATTCATGGCTATGCTTCCAACTCTTTGAATATAATACATACAATCCTCTCTACTCTCTCTATATCTATTAGCTATGGCAGCCACTTCACAGGATCCAACTGCTGCTGCAATCACAAGAAGGTAATAGATCAGATTTCTAGCAATATATATATATAATTTTTTTTTTTTTAATTTTTGTTATCTTTGATTTGTGCAATTGTGTTGAAGTTTTCGTGATTCTGGTAAGAGCTTCACTTGCAAATTAGAGTCCTTTTTGTTTTAATTGATAATAAGATGCAATTTCATTTTTATTTAGCATAGGGTTATATCAATAGCCTTGGACTTATTTTTTGCTTTGGNGTTTTTAAAATTTTCTTAATCCTTAATCGGCTAATATACAAGAATTAACGATTTCAACCCCGCTTAGGTCGGAAGCCATCCTAGCCTGAGTGAATTGGGTCTTTGCATTAACTCAAAAGGAGAAAAAGCGCATCAGGTATAGGAAGGTCGATCTACACAATTATTTGATATTCTTTTACAAATCAATGAGTTTTGACTTCCTAAATTCAACATGTTTTTAGGCTCAATCTTTGTTATGGTATATTTATTATTTCGACCTATACCACAATATAAGAGTTGTGTTAAACTATCTCATCTATAGTGATTAAATAGGGAAAATATTTTATTTATAATTTATCTTTAACAAATATATAATTTTAATTTTGTCAAATGCTAGACACAATCAAATTTTCATAAATGGGAGACTATAATTTATATTTTTCATCAAATTCTCAACGCTTGAATGTTTTATATTCGAATAAAATAAATAACAAACATTTTTGTATTCAAATCAAATAAATCATTATTTATCTGTAATTTGTTGTGACAAAAAAAGGGGCCCGGCTAGGTACTGACTAGGCCGGACCATCAGAATAAAAATGGTCTTTCGAACAAAATCAATACATATATTGTGAAGTCTTACCCTGGATTCCCAAAAAAAGAAAATCATTTTTCACACATATTATTAGTTAATAATGCTAGTGAGTGGATTTCTATGTTTATTTTAGTAGGAAATTAAGATATTCAATTATAGAATTTTGGATCGAACAACTATTCATCTATTGTATTTTTATGCAAACAAATAGGGGAGCAGAAAATTCTATGGAAATGTGGTGGTTTAATTCGATGGTGTTCGAAATTTCAACTTAACACCTTAATCAAATGCCAGTTTAAACTAAGGCTAAATTATTTTGCCTCTATGTTGCATAGGCTAGAAGGAAAAGTTGCCCTCATAACAGGAGGAGCCAGTGGAATTGGAGAATGCACTGCAAAAATCTTCTCCCAACATGGTGCCAAAGTTGTGATTGCTGATGTCCAAGATGAATTAGGTCACTCAGTTGTCGAAGCCATTGGCCCTAACAATTCCACCTACATCCACTGCGATGTTACTAATGAAGACGATGTCAAAAATGCCGTGGACAAAGCAGTTTCAATCTATGGAAAACTGGACATTATGTTCAACAATGCAGGAATTGCCGATCCCAACAAGCCCCGTATAATAGATAATGAAAAAGCAGACTTTGAACGCGTTCTCAGTGTAAATGTCACCGGAGTTTTCCTATGCATGAAGCACGCAGCACGAGTTATGGTGCCAGCACGTAGTGGCAGCATAATTTCCACTGCCAGTGTAAGCTCAACTATTGGTAGTGCTGCTTCACATGCTTATTGTTGTTCAAAGCATGCTGTATCAGGCCTTACTAAGAATCTGGCAGTCGAGCTTGGACAATTTGGCATTAGGGTTAATTGTTTGTCTCCTTACGCGCTTGCTACGCCTTTGGCCAAGAAATTTGTAGGGCTTGAAAAGGACGAAGATATGGAGAATGCCATGAGCCTTATGGGAAACCTGAAAGGTACAAATTTGAAGGCTGAGGATGTTGCCAATGCAGCTCTTTATCTGGCTAGTGATGAGGCAAAATATGTGAGTGGGCATAATCTGTTCATTGATGGAGGTTTCAGCGTCTACAATTCTGCAATTAAAATGTTCCAATATCCAGATTCTTGATCATCCCAATTCATCAAGAAAAATGTCTCTCATTTGAAGTATCTGCAAATTTTACTATGTTTCCATTGTCGTTGCTGAATAAATCATGAGAGGATTTTTTAACATTTTCATTGTTTACATTTTTTCTTTATTTTCATACCATGTTTTGTTTGGATTTTCACAAATCTTCAACACAGGTTCAATCCGATAAATTAGAAATGTGAAAGAGATTTTAACACACTCAAGTTTGCCTTTATTTGAGAATACAATTCTAGTTATTATACATAAAGAGTGCTGAAGTGCTCAAATTTTCAAATACACTCTCCGGAGAGAATTTCAACACAGTGCAGCGTCATCAGGAAGTCATAATCCAAGTTTTTCCTGATACATCTTATTTGGGATGAAACGGGATCACATGCATATATCACAAACTTGAATAGAAAGATTTTATCTATCGTTTACGTGAACACGCAAATAGCCAAGAATGAGTTACCTAGCAACCACAGAATGATTGCAGATGATGAGAGGGTATATATGTGTGCACCCTTCCAATTGCCCTCAAATCCACTTACTGCCCATGACAATGCCATGGCCAGCATTCGACAGGGACTGAAATGAAGGATGAAGATGATTAGATTGAAAGGAATGAAGACTGCCCCTGGGAAATAGTTGACAGGAAACTTCCGAAATTGGATTGGTTGATCTGCTGTCATTAGTTTCCTTCGATGAACTTGAATTTCCTCCATTAGATTGAAGAACCTCGGAAATCTGGGATCCGGTGGGCTGTGGAAGTTGTGTTTCGTAAGTCTTGTTCATGTCGGTGTTATCCTGAACGCCATCCTTCTTCGTGTTGAGGAAGCGTCCACCATTGCCTCTTGGAAGGCGCATTGCATGGAGATGGCGGGATAGGTGCAGATATGGCTGGGGAATGGTAAAGTAAAAGGAAATGTTAGCAACCATTAAATAATTGATATCAGCACTACTTGACCAAGACCAATAAACTCGAAGGAATCTAAGTGCATGTTTGATAGCTATACTCGATGACATGATGGATTTCTTAATATTCTTCAGTGAATCCAGTAGTCCCCTACCAAACATTGTATAAGAGAATTATAAGGTAAAAAGGATCTGCTAATAATATCAGGTCCCAAATTCTCATGATGAGAACAGAAACTAACATGTTCCTGGATCAGATGGCTACAATGACCTGTTAACCCTTATTTATAACTTGAAGAACCAAGAAGCAGGTGATAGCAGAGAGAACGTATATAGGTGCCATAAGAACTTTTTAAGTACCTTACGGGGTTTGAGCACCTTATTCTCCATTTCTGCCTTGGCACGCGACTGTCTGCGCCTTATAATTCCACGGTACTGCTTGGCGTTGACGAATATTGGCCCTTCATCCATAGTCATATTCAACGGTAGTAGCATGACGCGGCCCTGAAATGGTTGACAGAGTGACATTTATTTAATTCTTGAGTATATGTGTGGATATATTTCAAAATTCCATTCCAACCTCCGCTTGAGGTCCATAAGTTGAGTACACTCCATAACACTGCTCTGCAAGAGGATATTTTCCACAAATCTGTGGCAATTCAAAGAAAAAGAAAACGGATGAGATTTCATCGATGTAATTCCAATTCAAAAAATGCATACGGAATTCACAAGTAAAAATTTACTAAGGGTTGACCAAATCCAAGCTCAAAATGGCCTTCATATTGCATCATAGCTCCTTGTATGGAAATCACAGTCTGAAGTTGAGATTTTATCCCATTAGCAGCAGATTTTAAATCATCTGAATGATAAATATTTAAGTAGTTGATGCTTGGTTTGTTATTTCTATAGATTCTAAGAAAGACAACTTAGCTGTGTTGAAGAAAGAGTTGCTGCAAGAAGAATTATTAACCTTTTTTTTTATATTCAGATTTTATTAACATCATCTAAAATAAATTTTGTTGTTTGAAAATCAGAATTTAAAGCACTAAAATCAATCCCAAATTCTAATACTTGAAAGAAGCACGTTTGTAAAAACCTATGAGCCATCTAGTTGTTTGTGAAGACAAAGAAGGAAAAGGAGCACTTGGGGAAACATTGAATTATAATCTGGTTAGAAACCTAAGATTGCTAAAGATCCAAAAATAAATAAATAAATTGATCGATTTGTATTATTTTCTGTCTATTCAAGGATAGGGGAAGAAAATACACTGATTCTCCCAATATTCTCGAAACTACACGATAAACAATTAATGACACGGCCAAACACCTCACAATAAACAATATAGTAGAAAAAAAGAATAGATACCTTGCAAAAACATGTTAAAAGTATGTGGCATACTAAGAATGTGCCAAGAAATCTTTGAGTAGAGTTTATAAAGACGTCGGCACATATGATCAATAACTCCCTCAACCGAACTTAGGGTTCATGTTACCCCTTTGATATTAAGCCCACATAATTACTTTCGAGTCTTTGCGTTGTGTTCATGCGATGAGAACCACGTAGCAATAGTAGTTACGCAACCCAGCAACGATATTGAAATCCGACCCAAGAAAGTCCACACAAGTAAATTTATGGATTTTGACCCGAAAACGGTGAATTAAACAACCAACACAATCACAAGGATATTTTGATCTTTTAATTACACAATTCTAGAATCACCGACCCAAGAAAGTCCATGCAAGTAAGTTTATGGATTTTGACCCAAAAACGGTGAATTAAGCAACCAACACAATGGCCGACGATATGAAGACCTCTTAATTACACATTTCTAGAATCTAACCCGGATTTAAAGTTCGACCCAATAGATCATTGAACCAAGTAATCAAGATAAAACAGTGTTACCTCAAGCCCGTGATTACAAGACATGCGAATCTCACTTTGATTGGTTGAACTTTTTTTAGGATTGTTAATCCTTGATAAGTTCGGGATTGTCCGTTCAAGGAACAAGAGAGAAAACAAAAGCTTTAATTTATCATTATCAAAAGTCTTCTTTTTTCGTTACAATGAAAAGAAATACTATTTATACTAAACCCTAGAAACTCGTAAAAACCGAAAATAATATTAAAAGATTATAAGAATCTTACCTAAACTAGAATTCTAACAAAATAAGGATATTCTCTAAAAAAAGGAAAATTTTGCCCATTTTTTGTAACATGCGGCCACATGGTATATTTGGTCGCGGCTGCATGGAACAACCAAAAAAACTCTTCTGTGTTTGGGTATATGCCTTCACGGGTGCAAGGCTATTATGTCTATGAGGCCGCAAAGACATAAATCTCAGCATCATTTTCTTCTGCCTCGATTTTCATGATCCGTTGGACTTCCAACCACGACCCCAACATGGAACTTGCTCGGTTGCTCCTTTCTTTGTTATGAATGCCATACCATCAACTATAGCTTGAACAAGCAATGACATCGCCTCTTTCACTCGCTTCGCTCTCAATCGAGTCATCGGTCAATCCTCAATTATCAACGGATCCTTCCCCGGGCTTGTCCTCGTTGCAACGGCACCTTGGATCACGTGTTCATGCCTAATAAGTTTAACAGCAAAGGTATCAGGTGAATATTCGTGGGATATGATGACCAAAGGAATAGGTGGATGTGTTGTAATCCTAAGAGCAATCCTCGATATAAATCACAAAATGTGACGTTCATTAAAGCGTCTTCTTGGTGGAAATCGTGGAGGATAAAACTGCTAGATTTAAATGAAATTGAAGACAAGTTCAAACAAAAGATGTCAAAGAAAATTATGAAGTATGATAGAAACTTGAAAAGATGTCAAAAGGCATAATGCATTGTCAAATCCATATGTAAGCTCAGATTTGTACCCTATCTTAGAAGAAACTTCCTAGAGGTCTTAAAAGATGAGGGACACTAATTTATCTAAGGTCATTAAGGGCTCATTAGTTGTAATGAGAGAATCCGTGAGAAATGATTTATACTATTTTGCTAAAAAGTCACTTTTTAATTTTTATAGTTAAAAATTAATTTTAACCATGAAATATGCAATACTCACTGGTATGAACATCATATTTAAGTTGTAAGGGATAGAACCACATAAAATTTGTAAAATGATCCACTAAAAATTAAATATAACGAAAGCCATTAATGGTGCATACATGACTGGGTCCCCAAACATCAGTGTAAATGATTTTTGGAGAGCCTCGACCTGTGACACTAGAGAGACCAAACTGTAATCGATGGCTCTTATTACAAGAACAGGACACATAATTACAATTTGCTGAGAATTTAGACGACAGATAATTGACCTGAATTTATTAGATAATTGGTAATTTTTGTAGAGGGGTGCTCGAGAAGAGCATGCCACATTATTGTAGAGAATAGTCGCATAAGTGATTGGAGGAGTGGACAGCCAAATGGGTGAAGAAAGGTTGGAAGTTGGCCATTTATAGACGTCATTTATGTTCGGTTCCCGAAGTAGTTGAGCCCCCGTGCACAAGTCCTTAACCACAAAAAGGAAGGGAAAATTCAATAGAGATATTGTTATACTGGTAGAATTTAAATACAGAAATGATGTTCTTTTGCATGGAAGGAGCAATAAAAACATTAGATAACGTAAATTGGGAAGAAAGTGATTTGGAACTCGTTAGAGATGAAAAGTGCAGAACCATCTCCAAGGAGTATTTCATGAGAGCCTACATAGTCTTGTGTAAGAGTGAGATTAGAAAGATGAGATGCCACATGGTGAGATGTACTAGAGCCAACCAACTAGGTTGGGGAGGTGCTAGGCAGTCCTGCATGATTTACTGAAGGTTGGGAGGGACGTGTTAAGAATATATGATTATTTTATTTTATTGTTTATTAAGGGTAGAATAGTCTTTTCAATTTCCTTTATTTAACCTATATATAATCTATTTGTTTCTAGGTTAAATCATTCTTTAGTATTCAATTGCATTATGTAGAATTAATAAAACCCTAGCCTCCTTTTTCCTTTTCTTTTTTCTTTTTGGATTGTTTAACATGGTATCAGAGCTGTTACGATCCTAAACACTTTAATCTTGAATTTCGTTCCCGGCAAGCGGCCTTGAGCCGCTTGTCCGGCTAGAAATTTTGTCTTTCTTTTTTTGATTTTCTTTTCTGAGTCATCATTGTTGCATACTTCATCATTGTTGTGTTTATTGGGCTGTTGAATTATTGGCGGATCGCTTTGTGTTTTTCTAAGATTCTTCAACCTCGAGTATTTTTGCAGCTGGGTTCGGGCTGGGTACTGTACTTGACCAGGACTTTATGCTAAAAAGTGGAATTTTCATTTTTTGACATTTATCAGGCAATTATTTCAAGCTTCAGTGGAAAATGGTGGACCACGATTTAATGTTTGGACATAACCACACTGTATCTCTTAGTCAGAACCAGATTAGTCATAATCACAATGTGGTTATGGCTCAAAACCATGGCTTGGAGATGGGCCAAACTCATGACCACGAAGTAAGTATGGGGAGGAGCCATGATATGGAGGGCAATGATGATCATGGATATGAACATGAGAGGGGTATTGTTGGAGCAGAAGCCTGAAGATGAAGGCCATGCATCTTTACCTACAGAGAGCAATGAGTTAGATATGTCTAAGCACAATGAATTGGTTGTGTCTGGGAACCAGGAACTTGACGAGAACATGGAATTAGCAGTTATCCAGCTGGACTTGGGCCAATAATTAATGGGCTATTATTTTGGTTTTTTGAAGTTTGCTATAGTTTTTAGGTTATGGAATTTTGGGCTTATCATATTTAGGTTTGCTATTTAGTGTGGGTTGATTTTGGAGTGGGCTGCTTTTGAGTG